GAGTGGCGGTGGGGGTGGGGGTGGTGGGATGAATTGGGTGATTGGGATTGACATGTATACCCTAATATGTGTAAAATGGATAACTAATAAGAACCTGCTGTATAAAAAAATAAATAAAATTCAAAAAAAAAGTCCTATGATAAACCATAATGGAAAAGAATATGAAAAAGAATATATATATATATATATATATATATAAAACTGAATCACTTTGCTGTACAGCAGAAATTAACACAACATTGTAAATCAACTATACTTCCATAAAATTTAAAAAAAAAAAAAAAGAAGGGAGAACAAAGACACTTGTCTGAATGGTGGTGAAGCTGACACAGATTTCTGTCACAACCACAATTAATTAACAGTTTCATAAATGCTCCAAAAGAGGGAAGGTGGAGTAGAAAATCTAGATCTGAGGTTGACATCTGGCTTCTCCAAGCAGTAACATTTGGAGCCCCCTTGGAGAAACTTTAGGAAAATCCTGGCAGCTTTTGAGTGGAGAGAGAAACTCCACTGTGTCTCTAAGGTAATAGATTAGGCAGACCCACCTGTAACATTTGGGAGACCAGGGCTAGAATACAAATGGTGGCCCATAAACCATATGTCTCAATATTTTAATGTTCTAAATCAAGCTAAAAAAACTATCCAATCAAGTGCATCTGATCTTCCTACCTTGACAAAAATACTGGCCTACTGACCCAGAAGCTGGATTTGAATGTAGGATTCTCAGAAGTTCTGCACCGAAATGTGGCAGCCTAGTGACAGCCATCTCCCGGTCCTTAGCCCTCCATCCACAGACACTCCCCTGCCCTTCTCCCTCCTGCACATTCCACACCCCAAAGGTCCTCAGGAGGATGCATGTAGACACCCCAGCCTTCACATCCAAGCTCTGTTCACATCCCTGCAGAGAGCCACCCCTTGGCCACTCCTCAGGCAACTCTAGCAGTGAGCTGGGAGCAAAGTATAGTCTATAGGAGGGACACGGGTCTTTGGACCACTCATTTCACGGGGAGGGGCACAGGCAGAGGATGACCAGGGCTAAGGGTGGTCCTGGATTTAGGGGGAAATCATTAAATTTGTAAATTGACCCACTCTGAGCTCTCCATGGTGGCCCAGAAAAGAAGTCTGTAGCGTCATCAATTGATTTCCTGATGTGATCATCTTCACGGGGCTGATGTTTCTAAAAAGGCCAATACGAGAGCATCGTCCTGGCCCTGCCTCCAGGCAGGATTCACCTGGATCTGAAATGCTGAACCCCGTCACCCCGGACTGTGAGCTCACTGAATCAGAAGACGTCCTAAGAAGATGGAACTGTTTTCATATGAGAGAAGAAAGTGATGAGGACTCTTCACCCTGGAAAGGAAAAGGATATATCCTTTAGTAAATGAATGAGGTGGGCACGGATGGACAGATTGACCCCTCACATTCTGGAATATTCTCTCTAGGAAGCACTTCCTCCAGCTTGAGGAAGTTAGATTTGAGATGTGAATTATTAAAGCCGCTACACACAACAAACAAATGGAGCCTTTTAACCCGGGAGGAAAATAAAAGCTGAATGGAATTTGGTTCGCGAAGTGTGGGTGGGGGACGGTAGTCAGAGGAGGTCCAAAGGCAGCATCATGGATAACCCCATGCTTGCCCTGCTACCGAGTCAACGCCACGGTCAGAGCAAACAGTGCTGGCGCCCACGGCTCTGACCTAAGGAGGCCCTGTCAATCTTCATGCTTTTACATTTTTGGTTTTTTATGTCTTTATGTTTTTCCAAGTTGAGCTAAAGTTGGCATCTCCTAAGCCTTTCCAATGACTCTGAATGCTTGCCTTTGGAAAGCGGCTACTGTCCACTTTGAAACTAAGGCATTCACCCATTCATTCATTCATTGAGCACCCACTGGGTATCAGCCTCTGGGTGCATGTGTATTTCTTCCCTACTGCTTATGATTTTCTTTCAAATACAGCACCTGAACTTCCAGCTAATTCTCCCCACTTACTTCTTCCAAGTTCAAAAGTAGCCAGACCCTTCTTTCCCAGACTCTGCTTCCCTTTGAAATGCTGTCCTCTCCAAGGCCAAGTGCAAACTCTTCCCAAGATCTATATCCAGACATCCTGATTTTTTTTTATTCTATAGACTTTCCCATACAGGAAACCCATTGTGTTAATCCAGGTCTTCCAAGAAGCAGATGCCAAAAGGGAATTAAATGCGCAAGGATTTTATTAGGGGAAACACCTACAAGATAAATGGGGTGGGAGCCAGGAGAGGTAGGGAGAGCGGTGAGGCCATGGGGGAGGGCAGGTCTGACCCCAGGTGAAGGAGGGAGAGCAGCAAGGTTGGGTAGAAGCATCTGAGGCTGCTGTGAAGTCTCTGGAAGGTTCTGTAAAACCTAGAGAGAGTCCTTGAGCCTAATTCAGCTTTTAGGGGAGTCTTGTGTCTCCCAGGAATAGATCTGCCTCAGTGTTCCTGCCACGCTCCACCTTTGGCCAGGAAGTCCCCGTGGGAAGCATGGCCTCAGCACAAACACATCAGTGATGGATTGGATGGCAGAGTGCAGCCACAGCGGCCTCAGTCAGGAATGCTCCTGTGTTTGGAAGTCTGAGAGGCACATTCTCAAGGTCACCTCAGATGCTAATTAACTTGGGTTGAAACGAGATTTCCTCTGTGCTTTCATGCTGTCCTCAGTGGTTTCAATAGGAAATCCAGAGTTTGGCCTGTGTCTGTGTATGTGTGTGTGTGCGGGGGTGGATGTGTGCGCACACACGTATATGTATATTTAGAGAAGCCACTCCCGCAGCCACCAGGACCTCTCAGCAGCCTAATCTACACTGCAGGCCCTCAAACCCCTCTGCTGCTCCCTTTCAGACCATCCTGGTGGGCGACAGCGGCGTGGGGAAGACATCTCTGCTCGTTCAGTTCGACCAGGGCAAGTTCATCCCGGGATCCTTCTCAGCCACCTTGGGCATTGGATTCACAGTGAGTACCTCTGGGCTCGGGGGGCCCTGCTGGGCCTCTGACAGGGTCCCGGCAGGAAACAGGTGGATGCTCACATCGGATCATTCAGGAGGTTTAATAGAAAGGCCGTTTACCAAGATGCAGGCCATGGGTGGGGAAACCAGGAGGGATGGCCCAGGGCCCTTGGGCAGTTTCAAGGTGTCCATCCCACCCCAAGCCTGAAAATCAGTGAGGAGGGCACCGTCACCAGAACCAGGGACGAAGGGGGCTGCGTGGGCAGGGCTGGGAGGAGCTGCCACCCTCGGTGGTGGAACGGGGCAACCAGTGCGGTAAGTCGGCCGCCCTCCCGGGGTGCTCTCCTTCTGCTTCCCCTCCATCTTCCTCCTGGGCTCCGCTCCAACTAGTAAGCAAGGGAATATCTTGATACAGACACAGGGCAAGAAGAGCCTGGAGAGGCAAAGGGATGCCTTAAAAGTTTAAGCACAGGGCTTCCCCGGTGGCGCAGTGGTTGAGGGTCCGCCTGCCGATGCAGGGGACACGGGTTCGTGCCCCGGTCCGGGAAGATCCCACACGCCGCGGAGAGGCTGGGCCCGTGAGCCATGGCCGCTGAGCCTGCGCGTCCGGAGCCTGTGCTCCGCAACAGGAGAGGCCACAGCAGTGAGAGGTCCGCGTACTGAAAAAAAAAAAAAAAAGTTTAAGCACAATCCAAACTTGGCATTGTCACGTGGGTCCTAGAGCGCTGGCAGGTCAAGGGTTAAAGTTCAGGTTTTAGCACTCTGTGTCTCCCTGGACACAGCCTCAAGTTTCCTCTATTCCCAGCCCTTCTGTGGGCCAGGAAGCCCTCGCTCTAGCTCACATCCCCATTTCTCTCCACTTTCACCATGGCTGCCGGCTGCTGTCAGAAGACCTTGAACCCTGGGGAGGTCTTTGGAAGGGTCTCGGCCCTCTCTTGGACAGTGGCAGGAGCAGCAGGACCCTCTTTTGGGGTCTCCAGAATCCTAGTCTCCAGAGATGCAGAAGAGCAAATGTCATTTCTTGGGCAGCATGGGTATTTGAAAGGCCAGCCCCCGGGACCAAACAGAGCACCAGGCCTGCGAGGTGCTGGGACACAGCAAAGCCACGCTGGTGGGAAGAGAGAGGGGACCCCGAGAATCTGGGCCTGCCCACTGGGTCGCAGTGCAGAAGGTAAGGGCCCACGACAGAGCAGAAATGAGAGGCTGGCCAGGGTGTGCGCCAGGGCCTGGAGTGAGGGGCGGGGCCGAGCCCCCGGAGGGCGGGGCTGAGTCCCAGGGGGGCGGGGCTGAGTTCCAGGAGAGCGTGGCCATCCTGGCAACGCCCAAGCCTTGAACCAGGCTGCCATGAAATGAACGAGGATGGCGGTGTCAGGCGTCCTCCACCGCGGGCCCACGTCACCTGCCCCTCAGCACCCAGGGCACACGGTGTCCCCACAGTCACACTCCTCACTCACTCCACCCGCTTCCTTCTGCCTGTCAGAGGACAGGAGGCAGAGAGTGGGGTGGGGAGTCTGATTCACACTCCACAGAGGCACAGGGGTGGGACCTCCAAATTCTGCCACCAGCCTGGTAAGAAAAGTGAGGCAACTCGCCCGTGAGAAGGAAGAAAGTGTGTGGTCAACAGGGCAGGCTGGGCTCTTCCCCTCTCCTGGGCCAGGGCCTCCAGAGCCTCTGCTTGCCTGGCACCAGTCAGCAGCTCAGGACAAACCTGAGGGCAGCTTATGCTGAGTGAGGGCCTGAGGGCCCAACTCAGGCCTGAACCTGGGCTCTCCTGGGTCAAGTACATGACCTGGGAGCAAAACGGGTACATAGTCTCCCCCTCAGCTGGGACACAAACCTAGGGGAACCCCCATACTGGTGGTAGAGGGCAGGAACAACAGCCCATGATGGGAACCACACCAAGGACAAGTGACTGACCCTGGGCCTAGACACACTGCCCAGTTATATACAAAGAGGTCTGCAGCTCTCGCTGAGAAAATGTCTGTCTCCTCCGCAAGCCCCCTTGCCACCCCTCATCTAGCACTAAGGACCCTCAATTCCTTTCCTTTCCAGAGACAGGTCTCTTTCCAACCCTCTGCTCAGAGCAGCTCGATCTTTGTGGAGCAGCTGAAGTCTCCTGTGTTGTCTGACAAAGGGGCTGGAGGGCATTGGGGTCTCCTTCCAATATCAGTGGTCTGGGGAGCCCCAGAGGGCTGGGCTGCAGGACACTCATTTGTCTGTCTGTCATTTGCACAGAGGTTTGAAACACTGCCGACAGCTGGCCATGTGCAAGTGCCCTGTGGCCAGCCCTGGTTGTGGCTGAATTCCCGGTAACTGAGGTCCTGCTGGCCTAGCTCATTAGGCTGAGTGCAGCCTGGGCAGCAGGAGAGGGGAGGAGTCCTTGATCTTTACTTTAAAGGAGAGAGAGGTGGGGAATTCCCTGGTGGTCCAAGGGTTAGGACTCTGCACTTCCACTGCAGGACAGCAGGGGTCATGGGTTCAATCCCGCATGCCATGCGGCCAAAAAAATAATAATAATACTAAAAAATAGGTAGAGGTAAGTGGGGGGACCACCTGGGGTCTGCCCTCAGGCCACTTCTCAGAGCCTCTGGAGCCCATTGCTTCTGGAAGTGGGACCGGCCCAGGTCCTGGGTAGATGCCTCTCAAACCAATATCTTCCCCAACTACTCCATCATCACCTCCATCAAACTGGCTGCTGAGTCCTGCGGATGGGTTTACTGGGGTGCTGACACCGACCGGGCTCACACAGTAGTTGCTCCAGCTGGCCCCTCCCCTATGCCAGTTCAGGTCCTCCTGGCTACCTCTTGCCTCGGTGTGCCCCAAACTCTGCAGTCTTGCCTGAACACTGCTGTAAAGTTCATCTTCCGAAAGCCTTGCCCCCGCGCCCCACCACCAAGCACCATCAGTCTCACTACCGCCTTCCAATAAGGTCAAAACTCATCTGCCAGCTGAAGTCTTGCACAGTTTAGCCTGGTGGTTTTTCAAGCACTCACGTAATGCACATGAAAACCTCCATTTTGTCTGCGGTGCAGATCCCAAGCTCACCCACGCACATGTGGGGACCAGGATTTGCATGTTGTCAGCTGCCACGGACTCTGATTGCAGATGCTCCACGTGCCTCAGCCCCCCAGCCTCTGTCTTGGTCTCCCCTCCACATCCTGACCCTGCACTCACAGGGCTGTGCACCTTTCCCCACAGCTCTGGGGGTTTCTTCAGGCCCCCTCTGCTCGCTCCCCGATCTCCTCAGCTGCACACGAAGGCCCCCCTCTGAACAACCATGAGGTTTCAAGAGGCATCATCACCTCCTGTATCAGGAAGGGGTGTGGCTGTGTGGGGTGACTTGTGCACAGGAGGGCAGGGACATCTGTTAGGGGTAATGTGGGGTGTATGTGCCTTCTGGGTTTGGAGGTGATGGGAGGGGCTGGGGTCATTTAAGAGGTGCTTTCCGGGAATTCCTTGGCGGTCCAGTGGTTAGGACTCCTCGCTTTCACTGTCGAGGGCGCGGGTTCAAGCCCTGGTAGGGGAACTAAGATCCTGCAAGCCCCATGGCACGGCCGAAAAAAAAAAGAGGGGCTTTATTTGGAGGGTGATTTGTACATCTGGGGACGGCGTGAGACATGGGGGCCAGTTAGGGGTGTGTGTTGGTGGTGTGGGATGAGCTGTGTCTGTAACTGTGATGTGGTGAGAGGTGTTTAGGGGGAAGTGAGGTGTGTGTTTTGGGAGGGGTGGTCATTTAAGATGCGTGTTTCGGGGGGGGGCGTGTAAGGCATTGTGTGTTTATGGTATGATATGAGGTGTGCCTGTGTTCATGATGTGACGTGTGTTTGTGGGATGATGTAGGGTATGTGTGGTTGTGGTGTGTCATGAGGCGTGTGTGTGTGTGATTGTAGCTGATACAAGACGGTGTATGTGGCTTGATTTGAGATGTGCATGGTGTGAGGGGTATGTGTTTCTGTGATGTTGGGTGTATGTGAGATTTGAGGTGTGTGTGTGAGTTGTGTGCATGATGTAAGGTGTCTATTTGTGGTGTGGCGTGAGTTGTGTGTGTCTGTGTGGGGTGTGAGGTGTGGGTGGGGTGACGTGTGCCTGGTGTGAGTACTTGGGGAGATGCAGGCTGGCCCAGCGTGTACACAGCACTAAAGAGGCTGTCGGGAGGCCTGGACCTCCCAGCGGTTGTGCTCTCCAGGACACCGATCTAAAGAGCCCCCATCCTTGAGTGGCTTGTGCTCCCTCCCTTTGGGGCAAAGCCTGCCTCTCCTGCACCCCCAATTCTGAGCACCCCTGACCCCCTCTCGCTTCTGCCTCACTGGCTGCTGCCCTTGAACACCCCGCCTGACGCCGCAGTGTCCCAGAGGACAGTGTGTAACACTCTGCATACAACGCAGCCCACAGGCCCCAGACCCAGCGGGCCACACAGGCATGGCCCAGAAGAGGGCAGCCGGGCCTCCCCCGGGGCCACCAGCCCACTCGGACTCCGCTGCAGCGTACAGCAAGACAGTGCTTGCATTTCTCCACTTCTGGAGCGTTCACACTGATGGGCAACCGTCTCCATCCCAAACCTGTGCGCCACAGGGCAAAAAGGGTCTTGGTGGAGCCAATGTAAACCACAGCCGGAGGCCAGAAATCAAGGCGTCGGCAGGGCCACGCTCCCTCTGAAAGCTCAAAGGGAGGGTCCTTCCTTGCCTCTCCCGGAAATCCTTGGCAGTCCTTGGCTTGTAGCTGCAACACTCCCATCTCTGCCTCTGTCTCCACATGGCCATTTTCTCCCCATGTGTCCTCTTCTTATAAGGACCCCAGTCGTACTGGATTAAGGGCCCACCCTACTCTCTATGACTCCATCTTAAATAATTACATCCGCAGTGACCCTACTTCCAAATAAGGTCACATTCCGAGTTACTGGGGTTTAGGACTTCAGCATCTCTTTGGGGAGTGGGGGGAGCATGATGCAACCCGTATCAGCTTGGTTGGCAGTGGAAGGCCAGGGAGGACCAGGCCAGGTCCCCTCTC